TGATTAATACTACTTGCTTTCAAGCAAGGTATCAGAAAGCATAATTTGGAAAGAGAATTCGAGAGCCAATTGGAGATCTGCCCCCTTGAGAAAAAAAGGAAACAAAAAACAAGTTTGTAAAAATATAGCTTTTGTGACACAGGCATTTTCCTTCACTCATTTTATTTTCCTCAAGGAGATCCTACCTTTTGGTCATTAAATGATTACTTGGCAAAGGTGGGGCACCTGGACTTGTGTGCTTGAAGACAAACTCTGTAGTCCTTATCTGACTTTATCTGAAGAGAAAGCGATGGAATGTGGGACTAGAATGCCTTTATTTTATTTTATTTTATTTTATTTTATTTTATTTTTTTAGTGAAGTGTTAAACTTCAGCAGTCTCTTTCTGAATAGTAGGTGTTACTTGTCTCTGGGAAAGGCTGCAATTTTGTGCCGTCATGAAATGCACTTCAGTGTTATATATACAGTTTGTTTTGAAGAGCAGACTTTGCAGTTTCTGTAGGCATTGCATTTGGTTAGGGCTTCTGTCTGCAAGCATGGCCCAGCTCTGAGACACTCTAGCCTTCCACACTATCCCTTGCATTAGATGTTCAAGTTTGAATATTAGTTGTGAAATCATTACCGTTTTAATTGAGAAGCTGTATCCACCTCCTCCCAGTGTCCTTCAACACGCTTCTTAGTGCCAGTGAAACATGAACCACACTGTTATGTCATTAAGAACACTGAATATCTTTCCAGGAAAAATAATAGTATATATTTGTAAAGGTTTGAACTTCTAACCCCTGGAGCAGATACAGAGATGTAAACCTACTTCATCTTAGTAAACATAATTTAAGAGTGTGTGTGTGTGTGATTTTCACAATCAATGTTTAAAATCTTGTCGAATTGATATTTTTATCTTTGAGAATAGTCAACATTGTGCAGGAATTGTGCTAAGCACTTAAAATACATTAATCAACACTGTGGGAAGTGTGCTACTATTATCTCCATTTGCCAAGTTACCTTAAACTTCACTTGAGCAAAACAGAATAGCAGGATGCATTCTGAAGTAGCTTCACGGTATCAACAGGAAGCCGTCTGTATTATAAATCCTCCTTGTAGATGTTTATGATGTAACATTAAAAAGACACTGGAGTTGCAGGGAAAGCCCTCGCTAGAGCTCTAAAACACAACACAAAGGCCTCCCACTAACACAACACTCTTCTGCCAAATGCAAAAGCAAATGGTTGTATTGGGTGGTTCCGGCTGCACATTTGCGGAGCAGTTGTGCGTAGCCAATTACCCCGCTTGTGCAGGGTAAGAACAATTTGGGTTTTGCAAATGAAGAGTCTGATTCTTACATCTATTTGAATAATTCTTTTTCAACTTTAGAAAATTAACTGGAAGGAAGTAGAGACCTCTAAATCTTAAAATAAAGGTTAAATATTTATGGTTTCTATTTCCAGGCAAGTGTTTGAAAGCATTTGAATACTTGCTTTTATGAATCTGCACCTTTTTGGGTGAGCTAGTTCATTCCTGGAGTAATGGTAAACACTTTACCAAAAAGTCTACTCAAAGATATGAAGAATAGGTGATGCGTTTATTCTATCGATTAATATATCTTGAGCACCTATTATATATACTATATGCACTCTGCTAGACACAGATCTGACACCGTTCTGCTTTTTAGCATCTACAATATGATGGTGAGTTCTGAGGAGGGGAGCTGTTACATACATTCTTAATGTATAAGTAGCTAAAATAATTGAGTTTATACGCAGGAAAAAAGAGTAATGTTTATCATTTTCTTTCAACTAGCTAATACATAACTATGTAGGTAATTTTTGCAAAATAATCATTTGCTCTAAAGTGTATTAGTTCTGCCATATTGTATACCTCCAATATTGGAAAGTGTAATATTTATTAAAGATGAAATAAATAATAATGCCCAAATTTTAAAACAAAACTGAATGTAAAATTCAAAACAATTTTTTTTTTAGATATACAAAGATGTAGTCATTTAAAGAGTATCATGAGGGTTAAGTGAAATCTTTTTTAAAAATTTTATCTTTAAGTGCAAAATACACATGATGCAACATTTTCATCTGAATCTTTTTTTTTATTAAGATAACATTGGTCTATGATACTGTAAATTATTAAAGGCATAGAATCATGCCCTCCAAGTATATGTTACCACACCCTCAGCACCAAGCCCCTAAAAGTCCTCTGTCACAAATCATCACACCTCCCTCCCGGCAGTACTTCCCCCCACCCCATAATCCCAATTCCACAGAGTTCTAGGGTTTGTTTTCAGTTTGGCTTTATCTTATCCTTTATTTTGTTTCTCTATATTCCATGTCTGAGTAAACCATATATTCCACATACGGTGTTTGTCTTTCTCCTTCTGACTTATTTCACTGAAATAATTCCTCTAGTTCCATCCAAGTTGTCTCAGAAGACAAGCATTCATCTTTACACACACACACACACACACACACACACACACACTCACGCACACACACAGCTGTAGTATTCTATTGAGTGTATATACTCCACACCTTCCTAATCGTCTGTCCTTGGGCACTTAGGTTGTTTCCATTACTTGACTATTATAAATAGTGCTGCATTGAAAATTTGAATAATGAATACATATATCCCATCAAATTAGTGTTTTGCATTCTTTAGATAAGTACTTTGGAGTAGACTTGCTGGATCACATTGTAGGTACATTTTTAATATGTTGAGAAACCTCCATTCCATTTTGCAGAGGGCTGAACCAGTCTACATTCCCATTAACAGTATGTGAGGGTTTCGGATTTGCCACATTCTTACCAGCACTTGTTGTTTCTAGTCTTTTTGATATGGATCAGTCTCACAGGAGTGAGGTGGTATCTCATGTGGTTTTGATTTGCATTTCCCTGACAATAAGTGATGAGAACTTTTTCATGTGCTTGATGACCATCTGTATGCCTTCTTTGGAGACGTGCCTATTAATAATGTTTAAATATACAGTTTATCAGTGCTGAGAATATTCATGTTGTATAAACAATATCTAGAATTTGTCATTCTTGTAAAAAGGAAACTCTATAGCCACTAAACAAGGGGAATTATTTTGATGCAACACAAAATACCAAAATATTGTGGCTGCTTTTCCAATTGAAACTTCCATCACAAATAACCCAGCTTGGAATAACCTCAATTATACATGGTCAGTATTAATATCTGTACATTTATGGTGTGAATATTTCAGTGATTGAATAAATCCAACGCTAACTTAAAGGGTTATTAGGTGGACCCCTTTTAGATTCCACTGAACTTTTACCTTCTTGAGGACTACTATGAGTGTCGATGAAGTATCTGTATATTACTCATCTTTATATTCCAGTACCCAGCAATCTGTGCTCTGGCAGGGGGCTCATGTAAATGCTTATAGAGTGGTTGAATATTTTATAGTTAGAATGTCAACTAAGACTGAATTGCTTTGCATGTTCCATAAATAAGTATAAACTCTCAACAAATTTCTGTAAATCACATGACTATATGGCTGTGGTTCTTTTGAAATGCTGACTATCCAAATGAAAGACCACAACATCATACCACTTAATAGAAGGCTTAAAGGATGACATTAAATTAAGGACAATCTCATAGGCTGTCAGATGCTTTTGGTTATATATCAATTCATAAGACCTAGAGGTTTCCTTTAAGTTCTTCTTTTCAATCAGTGAATACTTTTAGAATCTCGAGAAAAATTATTAGAATTACTGAAAGTATTGGTGGATCAGATGTAATGCTTAGTGTAGTAGAGTATTAGTTATGGAAGCTTTTGTTCATAGCATAGTCCTATCTGTATTATTAAGCCACATGAAAGAAGGCTTTCTGTCTTCAAAAGTTAAGAGCTTTGAGAAGTTTTCTAAAAATTCAATAACCATGTTTACTCAGAGATACAGATGTAGACTAGATAAAGAAATAGAATCACCACAAGAATTATAAATTATTTCAAATGGCATAAATACAATCGTAAGTTGATCCTTACTGGTATAACAATACCCCTCATCCCAAAGTTTTTGAGATTTCTGGTTTCCATGGAGTGTGTATGTGTGTAAATGACTTTATTTTGGCTTTATAAGTCACAATGAAATACTAAAAACAAAATAAAATCTCTTTCATGATACCTGCAGTTATATATTGATTGGGGCAAAAGGAAGTTATTTGGCAAATTCAAAATGGCTAATCCATTCTGCTGAAATAAGTAAACTAGGAATCATTAACAAACTGCACGTGTATATCCATGTGCATGTTTTATGTATACATATTATGTACATTTAATTAATGAAGCCACTGCTATTCTCTTTCAAGAATGATGTCCATTCTTACCATTCTCATATAACCCTTATGCAAAATCTCAGAGTATTAAAATTAGTTTCATGAAATCTACAAAGTCATAAACTTCTTCCAGAGATCAACAGGAGTTAACATTTATACAGAAGCAGGCCAACTTTGAGCCAGGAAAGCTGTTGTTAGTTGTAGTCATAGACAAGCAGTGTGAATCAATGGACACATACAGATTTTTATCTCAGAGTTTGGTGAAATGTAACTCAGAAGTAATAGAAGTAATAGAACGGTGGGTGGGAACAGAAAAAACTAGCAGAGCTGTTTGCTGCTTAGTTATCTAGCTCCAAATTTAAAATGACTGATTAATATAAACTTTGGAAGAGTAAAAAAGAAATGTTCTGATTTACAGCAATGCCTCAAATGAATGTTAGTTTACCTTACACATATTTCACATTCTTTAAGTTGTCACAGAACATTTCACACAAATTGGGTTCCCCTGACTGGATTCAATTCCCTTGTTTAATCAATTAAAGGTATAGCATTTTCCTAATCTCTATCTCTAGATCAAATATTCCCTCTCAGCGCATCTGTTTCATATGTTAATAAAGTTTTCATTTCCAAAAGGTTTAAAATGATGGAACAAAATTCTCTCCTTTAAGAGCATGAAAATGACTTCTGTTTCTGTCTGCAGGTAGTGGAGGACATATTAGAGGACGAGGAAGAAGAAGATGACAAAGATGACAAGGTAATTATCTTTCCCAGCACTTGGGTATCTGGGGATGGAGAAATGTAGACATGACACTGTTTTCACAGACAGTTAAAAAAAGGAGTTGAAGTGTTTGAGTCCAGAAAATTGGACAGTGCTGTTTATCATCCTAACAATGCCACTGCATGTTGCAAAGAGGGAGAGAGAGAGCTATAAATCCTCTCCGCTTTTGTCCAGAGCTGGGTCAAATATTTTTCTGCCAGGAACAAAAAAAAAATAATAATAATTCAGCTTGTCTGGTACTTGATAGCTCTCGTGAAGATAACAGCAGTGACAACTGTTTTTGAAGGGCAAAAATTTGTCCTATCTTGAGTATTACAAATCGGGCTACACTTTAGGGGAAGAGAGAAGTGAGAAAATAGCAGTCTGCATGTTGAACATGGAAATTGTCATCTGTAAGTTTTGAAGAATTTCTCAGCAAAGGAGCACATGTGTGCAGAGGGCTCCAGAGGAGATCGAAATAATTCCAGTAGTTCCTGCCCTTATCTAGCCTGGGAGTGGTGTCGTGGCACCTCTGTCAGTAAAGCATGTTCAGAAAGGCTCATGTTTCGATTGCCAGTTGACTTGGGGATGGTGGCTACGGTAAATAACAGCTAGTTTCTGGAGTGTGTGGGTTGGTTGTCCCCTTAGGAGATGGGACGACTGGAGCAAAGAATTAAGATGAGCTTGCACCAAAGCAGCAGTGGCTGGAGTAGGAAAAATAGTTCTCTGTGGCAAGACAGGTAGCGATGTTGGTTTATTGTCATTTGGGGACATCTCTAGATCCAAGATTTTTAAAGTCCTGGGGTGAAATTGGAAGGGAGAGGAAAGAGTGAGAAGAGCATTCATTAGTAACACATTGTTCAGCGCGTAAAACCAGAAACTGACCTTCACTAGAATCTCGCTGACTTCTGTTATAGTAACAATGAGATTTTTGAAGGAGAAAAGCAATGATTCTTCATTTTTGCCCTTGACCTTTGATTCCAGTAGAAATGTATAGTTATAATCCTCTGTAAGAATCTGTGTGCTAGAAGCAAGCATTGGAAATGTAAGAAAAAATAAAAAACAACTCAAAAGTGATTAGTTAACTTCCCAAATAACTTTTTCCTCACTAATAATCAATGCTAGAAAAAAGAATGAGAACATACATGTCACACACACACACTTTCTCCCATCTAATGCTATTTTAAACATTTTTAAATGAATAGAGATTTGATGTGAATTTTTTCTTCTATACATCACTTAGTCATTAACAACATTATCAACAAACACTAACAAAATCTCCTCCCAGCAAAAACACATATGTGCTTGTTTTTTTAAATGTTAAATAACATAGCATACATTCTGGCAATAAATGATATGATTTATTGTGAAGGTCAGTAGTAGAGCTGTAGAGAGCTTGTATTTTAACTCAGCATGCCAGCTCTGAATCATCATTTCTCTGCTGATAAACACTGAGCTGCTATCCATTGATGACCATTTTCCCTTCTTATTGCTTCTTTATTATTAAAGCCGCCATAAAGACTGTCCCAGCAGCAGGCATTTCCCCAGAAATGTTAATAAATGGAAGCCCTCAGTGAAGGGTAGTACTTCTCCCAACCTCTATTTCTTTCTTTCTTTTTTTTTATTTTTAGTTTGCCAGCTCGTTGATATTCTTTCTATACCACTCATCTCACCTTTCTGGAAACTTTTTCTTTTTAGTGTAGATTTAGAAGTGGGAAACAGCACACCTGTTTAGCCAGCACACCAAAACATAGATGGCAGGTAGGCCACACCAGGGGCGAAAATAACACCCAAACTCTGGACTGGCATCTATCGTACCCTAGCATTTGGTTGTCTGAAACTGACATGCTGGTTTTAACACATTTCAGATCTTGTTACCAAAGTGGACGGAAAGTAAGTGCTTAAATTACTATGTGAATTCAACTGTATCCTTCTGTAAGGTTGTGGACAATGTGCCTTCCATTTGGAAAGATAGCACCTATTTTTCATAATTCCAGTGCTTTATTTGAATGGTATACTTTTTAACAGATTTTCCTTTTTTAACTTATACAACTGACAACATAAAAATCATATCTGAACAAATAGGAACATCTCGCATGCAGTAATTTACAATACACTCCTCAACAGAGGAACGGCTGTTGAGTGGACTTCTCGAAATATAAGGTTCTTTTACTATAAGAAATGGAGATAGGAAAGATCCTTCAAGTTTCCAATTTTCAGCTTCCATTTCTTGACTGGCTCTCACAGCAGTGTTACGAGTCTTGGCTATCAGTGTGTCTGAATGGGAGAAGGGTAATTTCCTACTTTAAAAAATTCATTGGTTCCTCTATTTAAAGTTTGTGTATAGAGTCATGCGTAATGGAATTTCATGAGAAAACAAATGTGGTTTTTGCCATACGAGCAGGTACTGGCCTCTAGCTCTCATTATTTCTCTGTTTTCTCATCTGGTATAATAGTGGGGTCAGGTCAGTGGGTCCTCTTATAGGATAAAAGTAAAAAAGATTAATAAATGTGCCAAAGCCTCACTTTAATTGAACCTGAAGCATATGTTGCAAGTATGTAAAATATGTCCCAGATGTTTCACCAGGCCTAGTGTCTTGGCTTTCCCTGATTACCACAAGGCAGCTATTAGTCCTATAACCTTTGGACTTGGAGGTAAATGGGGTATTACGTGGCTCACAATGAGAGCACCTGTTTTCCATTCAGCAAAGACCCCTGGCAGGCTTTGCCTAAGCCTGCCCATATGTTTTCACTTAGCAGATTGTTGGGCGATTATGAAAAGTGTCTTTCTTTAGAGCCAGCATTGATATTAGTCACTCACAATGAAAGGGCAAGTCATTGGCTACTTGACAAGGTCCGTGTGGGCACCCACTGAACTTGTTTATTTCATTTGAGCTTTGAGTGTTTTCCCTCAGCATAATTATAGGAATAGAAAAGACACAGGTATACAAAGTTAAAGCAGATAGAGATGATCACTTAATATGATGGGTTAGTAATAGCTTTTCTCTAGTGTGGATTTTAGCATTTGGAAAGACTTGGGTTAAAGTTGGTAAAAGTGAAATTATGACTTACTTGGATCTCAGAGCTTGTTTGTCCAGATGATGGCCTTTTGAGTATTTTTTTTTCATGAGTTCTTTCTTTTTTATTAAAACAGCTAATTGTGATTCAGGCTAGGGTTTGTGATCTTCAGCCTTATTCTCTAGTCTAAAATCCATTCTCTACATTTGCTTAAATCTAAAATAAGGTGATGGTTTTCAAAAAGGCAGAGAATACGAATTTTAAATAGCAAGTCGTAGTCATGAATCATTGACTTGTTAATATTTTCACTTATCTGCAGTATATAGTAGCCCTCTGCTAAGCTGGGGATGAAATTTTTCCGGAACTAAATGTTAAAAAGACGTCATACTGCCTTTTCAGTCTACTTTCTTGTAGAGCATTCTCTCAGTCATCCACCTCAATGTCAGTTTGATCTGAATTTTGATCTGACACCAAAGCCTGCCTTTGTGGCTAATAGAATATCTTAGTAAATAAGGTTTAACTAAATTACCTAGGTGGGGATATCAACAAGCCATATAATAGTGTTTTTCACCATGTTATATATGATAAAACTGTGGTCAATCTGCATAATCTGGACATCTAATTTATAAAGATCAGCCTTGGCTTTTTTAGCTTGAAAAGTTTAGGCATGCTTCCCACGGCGTGGTCTATCCTTGTAATAAGATCCAGCTGCAGTATCAGGAAGCCGAAGATAGAATGCAGGTTTTCCTCAGGAAAAACATGGATTCAAATGCATGGCATTCTAGTAATGTTTATTGATAAAAGATATTAAAATGTTCAGGCATTTATGCTTACATTGCTTCTCCTTTTTCTTCAACCATTATGTCAAGGTTACTGTGTTTCAAGATAACTAGATGCAATGAATGAAACATATCTGAGTACTTCAAAATGCACACAGCTTGTTTGCTTTAATTCTTGAAATCTGTGTTTTCTGGTTTGATTCTCTAGCCCTAAACATGTATATAATATACCCAAGATGCATTCATCCCCGCATCTCAAATCAACTGTGAGGGGGGAACAGGGAGATAACATTGATATGTGATATAGAAGATTTTAATCTGACAAAATGGCATTTTCCAGTTATATTGAATGAAAAACACTGCATGGTGAGGAAACAGATCAAAGCTTTAGAAAAAGCAGAGAGAGGCAGGATACAGGAAATTTTTTTTTTACATGATCCTAACTCATGTTAAATTAATTAATTATATTAGTTGATTGGTTTTCTGTTGCTGCACATCAATTTGCCATAAATTTAGAGGCTTGAAACAATACACACTTATTTGTTCTCAGTTCAATAGGTCAAAATCCCAGGCACAGCTCTTTTTTGGCTTTCTGTTTCAGCGGTCACTTTTCATGACCCTCTCAATGGAGAATTTTCTTGTGTTGAATTTCTCACAAACATAAGTCAAATCTTCCTTCTGGAAGTGCTCAGTCCCTTCTAAGGATCATCTGATTAGGTCAGGCCCCCTCCCTCCAATATTACCTAATCATGGGGATAATGATCCCATCATATACCCAAATCCTCCGCACACCCAGATTATTCAGAATATATGCTAGGAGATGGTAATATCAACAGCCATCTATACTCACCCACACTCTAGAACAAAAATGGAACTGTCTTTGTGTTCCTCATTTATACCTATTGCTAGGTTGTGACGCAACTATCCTACAAAACAAATTAAGAAAGCCTGCTTGCCTAGCCATGTCCCTTCAAAAATTATAAGCAACATCTCATACCAGAGGTATAATTTATTATCATAGTACAATATATTCCACTTGCTTAGTATCTAATTCTCTGACTTGAGAGGTAGTTGGTCAGGCAGGGAGTCCAATGGACTCTTACCCCTCTTGTCTCTCAGGGAGAAGAACAAGAAAGAATAAAATTGGCAAGAGGCCAGCGACATAGATTACTCCTCCTCTTGCTGCTTAGAACTACTGAG